GATATCCATTACTACTGAACCGTCTCTACAAAGTAACGCCATATCATCACAGAGATAGGGAAGCCCTAAGAGAATCTCAACAGAAAGTGGAACTACATCTCGAGCACATCAACCAGCAGACGAAGGGCACGATCGGCGCCACCACCAGAATCTGGCGGCGCATCTCAAACCTGTCGACTTCGCACCGGCGGCTCAACAGCGCCGACGACATCGGCAACATTAAGCTCAGAAAGGTATGGCCCGTACCGCCCGATAATTATACACTGTTCTGGTAGCAGCACCTGTACGACCAGAATATAAAAATTGTTTTTAGTTTTTCAATACCTTATTATACAAAATACCTTGTATTGAATGCCGTGCTATGAATGCATGTCATTATTATCTAACAATTTTCCGATTGTTTTCCGCATTTAAATGCTTTTGGAAAATAGTTTTCAAACAAAAAATACATACTTTTATTGATTCTCAAACGAACTCATTATCTATATGTCTGTGCCCTAACCCGTCTGTCTGTGCCGTAAACAATAGGCTGCGCTCGAGATCCTGAAGTGGAACCAAGAGGAGACCCAATTCGTGATAATCGGTAAAGTGTTGTTCGCGTCGATCACCGACTATACGGTGAACCGGAAGGCCAAGACCATGAAGTTCCTAACGGCCAGCGCACTGCTCGTCACACTCGGCCGACCCAACCATCACTATCGGCCCGATTTAGTCAACTCGATGGACGCCGACAAGGATATGGTGTTCCCCAGAGATAACACCGGTATTAACGACAGCGTACTGTTGCTCATTAAGGAGAAGTTGGGCCGGTATGCGCTCTGCAAGGTATGTGTGCCCATAGATTGTGTAAAAGAAGTTTGATTTTCATGTGTTTTGTTGGTGTCCACCTCTCCCTCCCCCGCAGGAGATAATGAACCTGAAGTCGTGTGTAGTGAGCAGTGAGAGCGATGGGGACGACATGTTTGAGATTCACGAGCAGATCACCAAAGAGTCGCTACTATTCAAGGTATTGACCGGACTATTCATTAAATAAACTACAAAACAATTGATTAACGACTCGATTGACTGATTGGTGTGTTTTGTGTTGTCCACCAAAAAATAGGGCGAGACGTTGACTGAGACCAAGGACTGGTTGAAACAGTTGAGGTACCACTCGAAAGACCTGGGCAATTGGCGCCGTAGGCGTAACGCCCTGGCCAACATTATGATGGTTAGGCAGTAGGTAGTTAGTGCCGCGCCAACCTGTCACATGTCTGTCCACTTTATTTATATATATATACAGTATATGAATAGCTCGCTGTTCGGGTCTATTGTATAAATAAATGCATTTAATTCTCTATATTCTTGATATAAAGCATTGAATTTACAGTAAATATGACTTAATTTCATGTGAGAATTAACTGTCAAATCATTTATACAGAATATATACACAGTATATCTATATATTATATATGAATTACAATTAACTTAATTATATATTTGTTATAATATATCGCTTTTATATATATTTAATATATATATATATATATATA